TAAACAAAATCCCTTAAACTGTACTTTACTTCCTATTCACGCTGATTTGTTATATTTTTTCTGTTTTTAAACACTTCCTTAGATTTTTTCTCTTATTTTATGATCATAGCAAACAAGACAGCTGTGCAAGTAAATGTCCGCCATCATCAAGTAATGTTTCTAATGCAAATAATTAATAATTTCAGCCTATATTTGCCAGCCAATGTAGAAATTTGATCTGAGAATCTTGGGGCAATCCTTGTTCCTCGTTGTAGTTGAGTTGCCAATTCATTAAAATAATTTCTTCGTTATTTAACCAAATATAAGAACAATTGGAAACTTCTCATGACCTTAAATAACAATGAATAGTTTATTATTATAATAATTCTACCTTTGGATTGTTTAATATTTATCCTGACAGTAATGCAGCCGAAAATAGATGCACCAATCACAATCACCTTTACATACAACCTTACTTTACCAAATATTGCCAGGTAAAATTGCGAGCACGAGACCCAGGGTGAGGTGGGTGCATCTTTGGCTGACTGTACGTACTAAACTTGTAATACGCGTTTAAACCTTAGTAGTTAAAAGCTAGGTAATACATTATAATTACATAACATCAACACTGTATCCCAACTTACTGTTTCATTCCGCTAGTCGATATCTGATGGCAATTTACATGAACAGGCAAGGTATTAAATTATCTTACCCGGGTCCTTTGGAAAAATAAACATCATCTTTGTCTCAAGGTACCTGTGGCAAGCTTAAAAGACCTGATTAACACACCTGGATAAAGATAAAATTACGATAAGCAATCTTGAGTACAAACACCACACCTCGGTGTTAATGAGATACGTTTTCAATTTTGTTTTAAACCTGACAAAAGTAGTGGTCACTCCTTCAGGTTATCAAAAAGTCACCATTGAAGTTACACAGATGAGACATTTTTCATCTTCAAATTTGGGCCACCATTTGATAATTTTTTTTTCATTTATTTACATTTTTACTTTATTTCTGAAAGTAACCAGAGATTCAACCTATATTTTCCGCCACTATCCACGCCCTCAAACCCCAAAGCTCTTCTGCCGTCATGGTACATCTACAATGGACAACGTTTCCCTTCACCTACAACGCATATCACTGCCGATCACATCCACTACAGACTTCTATGGTAACTCGAGCGGTCCTCAGATGTGAACTATACTGAACTAGTTTTGGAACGTCACTATCACTCTTCGACCACAATGTAACGTACATTTCTTCAGGAAGGTTCTCTCCACACTACAAACCCTGGACATTATACCGCTTTCCTAAAGGAGGGAAGTTTTTCCTGAATATACATAGTTTGTTCAACTAATTCCCTTCACTTTCTAATCATGTGGTTGAAAGAGGAAAGGAAACGAGGGGAAGAATAGATAGAGGAGGAATGAGGGAAGCGAAGAAAGGAAATGAAAAGGTGGAAAGGAAAGGAAAAGGTGGAAAAGGAGTTAAGGGAAGGAATGGGAATAATAACTACCGGTATTCTAAACATTTAACATCACGTGTAAACCAAAACTACTTCCGTTACATTTTGGGTTGAATAAACTATTTATCAACCAGTTTCCAGGGTGATAGAGGCAGGAACCACGGCACAGGGTCCTTGGGCAGTTCTAGGATGAGGAAGCGAATCGTAATTTGCCTCAATAAACTCGTCGATTATATAGATTATCAAAGTAATTAAGATGACTTGGTGCTGTAGCCTTAACACAAATTGAAACAGTCAGTTGATAATACAAATAAAAGGTGAACAGCTCTTGTGGTTTTCTGACTCTCCGGAAGTTCCACGGGTAAAGCATATAGCATCAATCGTTCACCTAATTTCGTCTGATAATCAACACGTTAAGTTTTATTTCCTCGTACTCGATAATACTTCCTGCAAGTTCGTTTCATAATGTCAAGTGTAATACTAACTTTTATCTGTCACAAGTGGTTCTTTTATGAATATACATTCTGCCATTATTATTATTTTAAGATGAAAACAAGAACGTTCATGGTGGCTTTGTTACACTCCCACATTTACAACACAACTTACATGGTCATAATTCATTACCTTATTTCCTTAGTTGGAGTACATGTTCGACAGTGGACACCATAAGTCATACTGTACAGTATCTCGAAATTATTATTCTATGTAATACCATAAACAGCGACGGTATGTGTATGTCTGTTTAGTTCATTATGTTTTATCAGGTTATTTGTTTAGTGAACTTTGGAGAATTAATGCAATATTCAACTTATAAATGTTTTGCCAAAATATATTGACTATTAATTACCTGTGACAACCTTAACCCAAGCTGTTCATGAACATCCTTCTAGGTCAAAATCATTATTCATGCGACTCCATACCAACATTAACCAGGTAAGTATATAGGTCTATTGTAGTTTATGGCGAGCAGTTTTTCCCTCGAGCCTCACTAAAAGGTGACCGTGGGTACGTATGTATTTAACAAACTTTCCTTTAATATTGAAAAACATACGACGCAGCTTTTTGTTGGGTCAATCAGATTACCCAAAAATACTATGTTTATGCACTTTTGGGGGAGGTAGGTTGTCAGTGAATCAAATTAATGTTTACTACTACTACAGACTACATAGCACTGCTACTATTATTATTGTTACATAGTGCACTTTTTAAACTCATCACCGTTATAACAATTATTTCAGAAGTATTAGTTTTCAGCGCGTTCAATGTGGCGTGTATGAAAGTCAAAAAAAGGTTATATAAAGTACTGTATACAATATACAGTAGTACTCACGTGAACCGTCCATACCGGCCAACACTATAAAAGCTTCAATAATGATAGACGTTTACTTGAACAAGAAAACCAAACATTTTGTTACTTCCAGATGTGAGATGGACAGTAATGCAACTTTTTAATACAACACAAGGACAACCATCACAGCCTGACAAAAATTATCAATATAGCACTCAGACAGAAGACTCAAACCCTCACTGCAGTGTAGACCAATATATTTTTTTTCATCTAGCTAAAGAACATTGTAAAAAAGCAACTTTTGGTTATCCAGCACAAAAACACGCCTCCAGGAAAATTCTGGGTCAGTGGGTGTTGAGGTGGACACAACACGCGGCCTCCAGGATACATCCGCCCTGCCTGCACTATTCATTCAACACCCAAGTATGAATCGCAGGTTAAGTTACTACACATGATAAATCAACTTATCATTTGTTTTTATTGCATCATGTAAAGCATGGAAACATATAATCGACAGTGAATAAAAGCGTCCCTGCCTATCCGTCGGCAAAATAATGAGCTAACCAGCTGTCGCAATGAGAAAAGTCCCGTTAACTGGAATTCAAACGTGTTTCCCCAGACAAATTATGATTAATATTATTATGTCAAAGTTAGTAAATTACTAATCACAAACCCGTATACTGCATATTGTTACTCAAAATGCAAGCATAATCATTTCGATACGCTGTTGAAGTTATTGGCCAAATTTTGTTCAACCTTGTCTCCTGCGAAAAAACACTGTTGTTTCTTACGTACCATAGACTTGAGAACAAAAGATGTATTACAAGCAATAGATAAAAAATAAACTGTATACAGCCTATGGCTTCTAAAGTTGACGTTGACATTTATCTGGTGTACAGTAGTCACCAACATACGTTCGTAGGCCGCCTTGCTTCCTACGACTATGGAATGTTTCTGAATTTTCACACCAACGTACGCACATCACACACAGTATAATTTCTACAGCAAATCATCGGATATATCTTCTAATTATAATGTCAAATCATTAAGAATCAATGTACAGAACAACACTTAATATAGCCAAGGCCAGAATACACCACCACATCCTTACCCAATTTTTCGTTGAAACCCAGAAATACCAATAAAAATTTTTTTCGAGTTTTGTACATTTACATTACGGTGACTTTGTGCCACGCTATTTTTAAAGACTTCTATTGTAAACCTACCACCAGTACGGCTAGTAAGCTGATAAATGGTGAAATAATAATAATAATAATAATAAAATCTTGGTGACCAAATGCGTTAATAAACCTGTAACTTGATGCAAGTGAAAAAAAATACTTTAGTAATTGTGATAGTCAACCAAATTTACGCATGTATTACACCTTTTTGTTTTTAGTACCATCTTACTGTTGAATGTTGGGTCCAAGAACCAATTTATCATACAAACATAACGCTAAACCTTAGCATACTTTAAAGTTTAAAGTCTTCCCGTCAGTGACTGCAGTTTTCTTTGCAGGTGTAGTCTAATCAAACAAAAGCGTATAATTTATCCTTTCAATTACTATCTCATCAATTGTACATCAAGCTATTTTCCAGAAATAGATCAGCGAACCAAACGTGGAATCAGTGGCAGTGTTCCAGTACACCTGCAGCCTAGCGCTTGGGAGGTGCCACAGTGGGAGGGGGGGGGGAGACTGACGTTGTACACGCATTGTGTTCTTCCAGGATCTTTATAACTGCGGTGCACATGATGGAACTACAAATAACTATAATTTACTTAATTTCAATGACCGGGTTTCTAAGGTCGCAGCATATGTGTATTCTTTGTTCGAAAAAGACAATTGTAATAGATATCTAGTTCATGATTTATTTGCTGAGGGCAGCAAATAAACTTTGGTCATTATCTCCCGACACGTCCCACATTTCCTCCCTCCTCCCTCCACATCACTGGTGGGTACCGTCCTGCACCAAGCCTCTGTTCGCCTGGAGTTGAGACAATATAATCCTGAACAAAGTGAAAGCTCATTAGTAACTACAATCTTAATTGTATAATTGTGGAAACGTGCACCCATCAAACACACTCGTAGAAAAACTGACCTATCTTGCATACCAGAAACACTAACGAGAAGAGATTACCACGAAACTGTCGCATAAAAGCAGGCAGTTAGTGACCATAGTACAATGCATGTTGGTATAGGGTAACATTAATGAAAGCACTGGTGAAGACCTACAAAGTTTGTCATGAGTGTTAACGGTACTTACATCCTCAGAGGGGATATCGTAGCACTCGGCGATCTTTTGGTAAAGTTCCTTGACATTTGTGAAGCCCGAGATAATGCCTGTAGGGGATCCATGAGCTTGCTGACAGTGGAACACTAACTTGGGCCGTGTAACAGGTGGATCTGGGGGCGTTGTGTGGCCATTTGTGGGCGGCCTGGTAGTGGGGTGATGGGCGTGCGTGTCGTCCACACCATTGCTTCCATCCTCACGTTTCCTAGGCTTGAACAGTGGCATGATGGGTCACGCGTATGGCGCGGGGCCGTGTACACTATAACACATGCGCTCTTTGGCGCCTCACTATTAATACAGACGGCGAAGCGGTAGCAACAGTAGCAGTTCCACTAAAGCTATAACTAGCTGTCGCAGCGGCGGTACAGCAACACTATGGTGGCCTCACACTGACTGACTGTCGGGCGGCCGCGGTAGGGCGGAGTTCCGGTGTTCTCCCGGTCACCCTCCCAATACTACCGTTCACCGCCACCTCACCATCCATTTTATGTATTGCTACTCATGTATTCCTTCATTTATTATATTGAATAATTTCAAATAAGTGATGGATGTGCAATGATGCAACTATTTTCTATAATAGATCATTAGAAATACAGTATCCCCTTTTGGCCAATGTGTTTTGAAATGTGAGCGTTGTTCAGTGAAATATTGGAGTACGTGTCGTGTGCAGCAGCTGTGGCGGGAGGCGAGACTTGCCTCCCTGCACAGCTCTCCAGGTAATACTCTACCTGCTTTATACTTCACTTATTATTATATCGTAATGCTCGTATATTTTTTTCGTCTATTCAATGATTAGTTAATCTATTTTGATTTTCAGTTCAAGATCATTAGCCACTGGTGCATTGTAGTCCTTCGCTGCTTGTTTTGATGGCTGTCAATGTTTTCTTAAACGATGTTTATTAAATCATCAAACTCGATATATTTGTGTATATATAATGGACGCGTCTCAAGATGTCTATTCATATAATGTCACTATTAATAACGGGGTCGTTGTATTACGTCACCCCCTGCGCAGTTCAAATATTTCTGCTTATCATGTCGGGTTTATCAGATGGCTGTCACTGTCGCCCTTGCTCGTCACCACTTTTATCTAGTAATATTATTTAATCAGTATGTTATACCAGACACCAGTTATGGGCCTCGACACCCAGCAGCCACGAGATAAATAACTATTACTTTGCTGGTATGTTAAGTTTAGCAGTAATGTCTCTTTAAGTTGAACTCATTACCAACAGATCTCACGCTCTGGTTAAAACAATGATGTCGCCCGCACTATCTGTCCGTCAGTACTAGTGCCCTGGGACATACCCCGACTGATACCTCTTGGAATGTTAAATATATATATATATATATATATATATATATATATATATATATATATATATATATAACCCAGTGTGATACCTACACCTAGGAAAAGAGAAATATAAAAATAGCATTTTTTCTTCATTATGATCTATCACAGGGACAAGCTAAGTCTTACTCCTTATCAGCAGTGTCCAGGAAAGTGCTATTAACAAAATATTTGAGATTGAGGTTGTATCCTATGTGTAGGGTCCGGTAGTTTTCAAAATGTTACAGACCATTTACCAGTCTCTAGACCATTTATACAGCTCATGCAGGTCTTTCTACAGTGGTGCGACATCATCTTGACTTGCTTCCTGCCCAATTATCTTCGTGTCGTCCGCAAACTTGACTATGTGGCTTAATATATTTTCATCTTATCATTTATATAGATCACAAACAGGCTGGGTTGCCTGTCTTCGAGCCAGTTGTCATCCAGTACAAATTTTTGGGGTGAAATAAACTGGGATATCCAAACTTCAGGTAAACCCATATATACCTGTAGATACAAAAGATATGAATATTCAAACACACGGTGATAATTAGAGGCGTCTATATACAGTATATATTTATTCAGTAGGATTCTCGGGGTACAGGACAACTTTTTTCTATACGAGTCTCTGAAAGTGCTAGTTTAGGTGAACAAGAAAGGTAAAAACAGTACCATTTCTCCGATCAATAATTCTTTGACAAATATAGATTTTTCGTTGTTGTGAAATTACACAGAATGTTGTAATAGAGGGAGAGAAAGATATGTTGCCCCCAAGTACTGTACTGTGGGGTACTGGTTGTTTGGTTCACACTCGGGATGCGGTCCGACTAATTACCCAAATGTAGCCGCAATGAAGTCAAATAATGGTCGTACAAGCGTAATTCGGGCTGTGAATCACTTCTCGATTATTATTTGGTCATAATAAAAAAAATTGGTAAACTCAATTTAATCTGAGTAATAGATCACATGCATCGACGGAGCGAGAATTACCCAAATGTACTGTAGTGGACGTCCCTACAACTGCGTAGCCGCATACCACCTGCTACGTCTTCCCTAGCAACCAAACGAGCGGCCCAAGGGGGGGGCGTCATCAGATGCCACAGTATCCTAGCAACGGAGTCAAAAGAACAGGGTTTCCCACGGATGACTCACGGGTGACTCACGGCTGCTGTGTATATAAGCTCTGTCTCTCCATTGAGATTCATTCTGGCCTCTCTTCTTGAACACGCAACACCTCCTCCTCCGCTGCTGCCTGGCGGTCCTCTCTCCCGCTGGTGAGCATGGCGACCCACCAGCTGTCCTTCTCTGAGCGTCCTCACCAACCAGCTCTCTCATTCTGCTCTCGGTTCCTGAACACGCAACACCTCCTCCCAGCAAGCTCCTCGCTGTCCCGTTCTCATTCAACCTGGAGGCCAGCAACAGGCAACATCTTCTCTAACGAAGCTCCTGCACCTCTACCTCCTTCAACAAGCTACTCACCGAACGTGCCTACTGAGCAGCTCCTCACCACACGGCACCTCCAGCACCAGACTGTCTACCATATAACTTATATTATATAAGAAAACCACCTTAGAGTTTCCATCCATCCTGAGTGCTAGACAACATTATATCACGAAACCCTACAGGTACCCAAATGTAGCCGCAATGAAGTCAAATGATGGTCGTACAAGCGTAATTCGGGCTGTGAATCACTTCTCGATTATTATTTGGTGTCATAAAGTCAAAAAAATTGGTAAACTTAATTTAATCTGAGTTGTGTTGTGTTAGGTTAGATTAGGTTAGGTTAGGTACATGCACTTGATCTATTAACTCAGATTAAATTAAGTTCACCAATTTTTTGTGACTTTGTGACACCAAATACTAGTCGAGAAGTGATTGGCAGTCCGATTTATTCATCTAGGACCATTATTTGACTTCATTGCGACTACATTTGGGTAATTCCTCGCTCCGTCGGTACATGCACGCTATCTATTAACTCAGATTAAAGTAAGTTTTCCAATTTTTTGTGACTTTCTGACACCAAATACTAGTCGAGAAGTGATTGGCAGTCCAATTTATTCATCTAGGACCATTATTTGACTTCATTCCGGCTATATTTGGGTACATTTGGGTAATTAGTCGGACCCTCAGGATGGGATGGAGAATCTCTAATGTACTCTCTGTATACATGTTGTATTAGATATTACTAATGCAACCTTGGTGCTGGGAAGGCCCAGCATGATTACAAGCATTGTGTAGAGAGAGAGCTGGTTGGTGAAAGTGCTCAGAGGAGGACCAGCTTGTGGGTCGCGCCATGCTGCGCAGCGAAATCCCACCAGGCAGGAAAAGGCTGGAAGATGTTGTTTGCTGGTGGCTGTGGGTAGTGGAGTGTTCACCTGCCACTGGGTGTATGGGTCGCCATGGTCGCCAGCTGGGCGAGGGCCGCCGGGCAGGGCAGGAGGTGGTGGTGACCCACTTGCTGCAGCTGTGGCTAGAAAGAGGTGAGTCTGCGGGTCAGGTCTTATATATGCGTGGGTAGGCGTGGCTTAATAGTTGACCTCCGTCATATGAAGCGGCGCTGGTTGACCTAGACCACGAAGCATACACTGGGGAATTCGCGGGGTCGGCTACTCGGCGACAAACAGTGTTTGTAGGGGAGGAATCCACTAAAATACTCCCCCTTCCCTCCAGGCGGTGTAGGAGACTTGTTGTCTGCAGGATTGCATGGCACATGTGAGGCAGAACGGGCGGTGCATGCCACATGTGAGACATATCGGCGAGGGCGTGGATGAGCCGGCCGCTAAGGGGGGCAACTCTGTCTAGATACACGAGATCTGTGGGAGAAAAGAGGGGGAAGGAGGGTGTGTGGGGGCGATGAATGTTGTGCTTCCCTCGCGACAGGTACAGAGTCCTCAGATGCGCCTGCTGGGGTATGTGGGTCTGGGTCAGGAGCAGGGGCTGCGTAAGAGGGTCTATGACAACAGCAGGGTCCACGACAGCAGCAGGGTGCAGAACAGTAGCAGGGAGTACCTGAGGGAAAAAAGAGGGGTCTGTGGGTCGCACTCAGGCGCATGGGCCGCGTCGGGAGCAGGGGCTGCCAGGCAGGAGCGGAGGAGAGTCCAGGACAGTGGCAGGGGGTACTGCTGGGCCGGGGGCGGCGTCTGAGGCAGGACGGGTGTGCTGGGATCGGTAGGACGTGGTGCTTGGGGCAGGAAGAGGAGCTGGTGTCTGCTTAGAGAAGCAGTGCTGCTCTAGGGTGTCTAACCTGCGGTGTAGAGACAGTAGTTGTAGAGCCGATGAGAGCTGCTTCTGTGTGGATAAGCCAGTCTTCCATGTTGCTTGAAGACTGGGAGAGTGATCAGTTTCTCCTCCATCCTGTGTGAGTGGTCACTCCAGGGTCACCATTTTTGGGGTAAGGGTTATTTTGGTTCACACTCAGGATGGGATGGAGAAAGGAAACTCACAATGTGCTCTCTGTATACATGTTGTATTGGATGTACAATGCAGCTTGGTGCTGGGAAGGCAGCATGGTTACAAGCGTTGAGTAGAGAGAGCTGGTTGGTGAGGGTGCTCAGAGGAGGACCAGCTTGTGGGTCGCCATGCTCGCCGGCAGGAGTGAGGACTGCCTGGCAGGAGCGGAGGTGGTGGTGTTACTTGCTGCAGCTAGAAGAAGAGGTAGGTCACCACGAGGTCAGGTCTTATATAGTGGAGGTAGGCGTGACTTAATAGTTGACCTCCGTCATGTAAGGCGGCGCTGGTTGACCTAGACCACGAGGCATACACTGGGGAATTCGCGGGGTCGGCTACTCAGCGACAAACAGCGTTTGTAGGGGAGGAATCCACTACAGTATCACCATCAAAGAAACTGAAGACATTTCATGGCACACTATTAATTTTTTCCTTTCAAATTTGTGTAGGTTAATAGGTTCAAGCCGATTTATCCAATTAAATTATAACCCTTTTGGTATTGTACCGAAATGTTTTGTTCACAGCAAGGTATATAGCATGATAATTCACCTTTCTTAGTTTTCAGGTGTTGTGTCAGCAAGTGAAGGAATTCCATATCAAACATTGTCAGTTGCATTTTCTTCCATAA